TGTTAGTGAATTATACTCTTTGGTTCTTTCGATAAAGTCACGTAGGTAAAAAACAATAAAAGTAAAGAAATAATTCTAAATCACGACGTTTCGGGCGCAACACAAGCGCTCGGTGGGATCACCACAGACAGAATCAACTGTTGGAATGGGTAATAACTTTTAACTTTTATTATTTCATACCCACGTGACTTTACCGAAAAAACCAAAAAGTATGGATCCTTGCAGTCACGAAAACTTCAAATCTAGAATGTTAGTGAATTTTTTTTATATTTTAGGCAGGAAATTCGTTTTCAAATGTAGATATTTTTCTGGGTTGGGACCCCCAGACACCCTGGAAGATTTGATCCCCCCCCAATGTTGACTCTATGGCTACGGCCTTGGCACAAACAGAAGTACGTGTGTGGTGAAACACCCGATTATGACAACGGAGCCAGCTGCAGTGGGAATGCAGGTGCCATGCGATAACACACAACACGTGGTGGAGCACGTGGCGGCGATGCCTTCATGCAGCAGTGGGAGTGGGTGAGGGTGAGCTGCGTGTGAGTGAGCTGTGTGTGTGTTTAAATTTAGTGTTTTAAAGATGTCAATTCACCTGCTGTGTATCTTACTACTGTCCCTCCCGGCCATATCTAGTGCCACACTCAACTCTACAAACGGCTACCCGCGTTACTTCGCGTCAATACTTATTGCTAAATTTGCAACTACACCTGCTAATGAAACAACTTATAGACACTTCTACACTCCATCATTATATCCTTTTAAACCCTATCTTTGTCCCATTACTTCACCAGCACTCCTTCCAAACTTCATTCTGCTCTTAAAAATAACACCATCTGCGAGCTGCTGCTATTCGTCCAAGGTTCGTCGCTCTTCATCCTTTCACAGAAAATACCTGTGCAAACTATTAATTCTACTTTTCTTATTTCTGGGTGGTATTGAGCTTCATCCTGGACCAAATGTAAAGAACTCATATAATTCTATAGATTTTTCTGGCAGAAAAGGTGTTGGTGTTCTACATGTCAACATCAGAGGGCTTTTGATTAAATTAAGTCAACTAAAACTAGAAGTAGCAAATCTTGACCCGGACATATTTTGCCTAACAGAAACATTTCTCACTCCTGCCGTCAATGACTTGCAGATTACGATTGACAACTACAATCTTTTTCGGCTTGACCGAGGATCTAAAGGAGGTGGAATTGCCATCTATGTTCGTAATACTATTGCATGTTCACCAGCTCACTCCTTGTTTAAAAAATGTTGCTTTGAAGGTCTGGCTCTCAGAATAACTCTCCCTAATAATCAACACATATTGGTAGTGTGCTGCTATAGACCGCCTAGTGGGAAGGATGTTGAAGCTGCATCTGCACTGAGAGAGCTTCTTGGAGGCCTCCCTAAAGGTGAAATAGTTTTAGTGGGTGATCTAAATTGGAATTGGCTAAACCCGCCGGCCGTGGCCACAAATTTTGCAGATGAATTTAACCTGTTTCAATTAATAAATGTCCCCACAAGACCCAACCTAAAAAATCCGGGACAGTCATCTCTGCTTGACGTCCTATTGACAAATGCCCCTCACAATTTCGCACTGACTGGTGTTCTAGGTAATAACCTTAGTGATCACTCCTTCATTTTTGGGGTGAGATCATCAGCCAGACCCAAAGCACCCCCTAAATTGGTTGAGAAGCACTCCATGAGACACTTCAGCACTCAGGCATTTACTAATGATGTGCTTCACTCGGATATTGACAAGGTCTGTGATATTCCAAACCTGACTACGGCTTGGGAGACCTTCAGGTACACGTTTCTCCAAATTCTTAACAAACATGCTCCGTTGGTTAAATTTAAAACTAAAGGCAACCGTCCACCATGGTTTGATCCTTTGATTACAAAGCTCATGAAAACTAGGGACAAGGCTTGGGCATGTGCTCAGAAAAGTAATTTGGTCAATGACTGGCTAGAATACAGGATTTTAAGGAATAGATGCGTCAAAAAAATACGGCATGCAAAAAATAACTACTTCTCTTCCACTCTCCTTGAATCTCATGGAAATGCCAGGATTTTCTGGAAAACAATCAAATGTATCGAAAAGGCATCCAAAACAGATCATCTGCCCGTTCAGCTTAACCGAAATGGGGAATATTTTTCAGATCCCCAAAAAATAGTTGACAATTTTAACCTTCATTTTTCTGAAGCTGGTACCCTATTTGATAATGTATTGGGAGTCACCCCTGCTCATGCAAATTCCTACACTCCTGTCCAAACATTAAGCGAATTTAGTTTTCAGCCAATCCACGAAAGTAATGTTCTGAAACAACTGTCCTACCTCAAAGGGTCCTCCTCTACCGGAGCAGATAGTATTCCCGTCTTTGCTCTACTAACTGTTGGTCACCTAATATACAAACCTATAGCCCATATTTTCAACCTGTCCATCAAAGAAGCATCAGTTCCTCTAGAATGGAAACATTCCTATGTTCGTCCACTTCACAAGGGGGCCCTAAAGATGATCCAAATAACTACCGACCTATCTCAATTTTATCCCCGTTGATGAAAATTTTTGAAAAATTATTGACCTACCAAATTAGCAGTTTCCTGTCCGCCAACAATCTATTACATCTAAAACAATCTGGGTTCCGAAAAAAATACAGCACCACATCTGCTGCATTAGACTCTCTGAATCACATTTACAGTAGCCTTGATAATAAGCAGTACTGCGCCTGTCTTTTTCTTGACTTGTCCAAAGCTTTTGATACAGTAGACCACAACATCCTGCTTAGTAAAATAAGTTGCCTCGGTTTTTCCGAAAACACAGTAAAATGGTTAAAAAATTACCTCTTTTCTCGCACCCAAACTATTCACAGAGGGTTGGAGGTCAAACAGTGTTAAGATAACAAAAGGGGTTCCACAGGGTTCCATTCTCGGCCCCCTCTTGTTCTCTCTTTATGTAAATGACTTGGGCACTGAACTGGATTATTCCAGGGTAAATCTTTTTGCAGATGACACGGTACTAATTACTGCTGGCCGCTCTCCGGATGACGTGATTGCTAAGCTCCAGAGTGATTTCAACAAACTACAACATCAGCTAGTTGCTCTTAAACTAGTCCTAAATCCTGCCAAAACCAAGGTGCTATGCTTCTCACCAGGACTAAAGCGGGAAGTTATTTTTCCCCAATTACATACCTTAAATAATGATCAAATAGAGCAAGTCAAGATCTATAAGTATCTTGGGGTCATCCTGGATTCAAAACTGAATTTTGAAGATCACATTGATTATATTGGGAAAAAGACAAAAATTAAAATTGGTTTTCTATATCGACACAAGCACTGCTTCCCCCCTATGTTCCGTTTGGAATTGATTAAAGCTACCATACTGCCTCTACTTGATTACTGTGACATTGTGTATAAATCAGCCCCAAGTACTGTACTGAAGAAGCTTGACTCAATGTATCACTCGGCCTTAAGATTTGCATTGAACTGCCCATATAGGACTCACCACTGTGATCTCTACATTGGGTCAAACTTAACATCTCTGAATGTTCGACGGCTTGTGCACCAGATCTTATTTATTCATGATGTACTTGCAAAAAAATCTGCAGATTACCTGCTGGATCTCGTCTCTGTTTCAAAGAACAAATTTGACCTAAGGTCTACACTCATTTACCAGCTTAATATTCCCTATTGCCGTACATATACTGGAGGAAGGGCCTTTGCTATTGATGCCCCCAGGGTCTGGAATGCTGTTGCAAATAAATTGAAACTTGAGTCACTACCTATGAGATCTTCACTCAAAACTGCTTTAGAGGAGTTGTACACCCCTAGCTGCCAGTGCTATTCAGTGACCTAAAATAAAATGTTTCGCTCTGGATGATCGCTACAAAGTATGACCTGTGTTTTGATTTAGTGTGCTGATCTTAAAGGTGCATTGAAAATTTATAATACTCCGATTGATGCTCCTGCTGTTGTGGAGTGACTCATGCAGCCAGCTATGGCTGCAGGGTTTTGGTAGTACATGTTGTTTATGCCATTTATTGTGAAAATTCCGTCACAGTTCCTATGATTGCTTTTTCATTGCTTTCATGGCTTTATTTTGGTGATTTCGAAAAGTGTATTGGTTTAGCCATGTTTGTGTTGTTGTAGTACAGAGTTAGACTGATGGCCTTAATCTAAGTTGTCTTGTGGTTGTTGTTGTTGTTTGACTTGCATCCCACTGGGATTTTTGCACAGCATTGGTGTACGGTGTTTTTTCTGCAATATTTTTGCTGTCTTTTCTTGGATTTTCTGTTTGCACGTAGTCACATATTCACTTTAAGATGTTTTTTGTTCATGTTTTTTGTTTGTTGCGGTTGCACCCGATTCAAGAGCTGAATGGCTCACAGGGCTATACCTAATAAATGAACTTCAACTTCAAGGCCATGGACGGCGATGCTTTTCCGCAATGCTGAACGGATCATTATCTTCTTGGTTCTTTCGGTAAAGTCACGTAGAATGGAAATAATAAATAATAAAACAAAACATTCTTTTAGTTATTATTAAATAATACAAATTAAATATTATACAATTATTTTATTATGTAAAATTTTTATTATTTTATTATTTCCCTTCTACGTGACTTTACCGAAAGAACCAAGAAGATGAATCCCTGCAGTCACGAAAGCTTTAAATCGGGATCATTATTACTTACAGCTAACTTGACGATTTAAAAATAAATAGACCGATTTAAAGGCGACGGCTTGGTGGGGAGGGGGGGTGTCTTCATCCAGCAGTGGATCGACCACGGCCGTTGACGCTGTGACAATATTAGGCCCTCGGGGTTAAAAAAAAAAACGCGTTCTTTGCGCGCGCGGCGCCTCGCGGCGACCCGTAGCTTCCGCGCACTGGAGGTGGGGGGGGGGAGGAATCACGAGACCCACGAATTCCGTAGTCCACATAAGAGGGCGCGCGCGGAGGCAACCAATCAGAGGGTGCCGTGGAGGGGGGGTGGGGGGTGAGTGCGGCCTTATGCGTTGTAGGGAATGTGGTTGTGGCTGTGAGCGTTGCTGGGTTCACAGCTGGGCCCTGCCGTGTCCGTCTCTCGCTCGTCTCCCCATTTACTCCCCGTCAGACCACGACGACGACGACGATTTGAAGGGAGCCATTCTCATAGTTGCGTGTGCCAGTCGCGTACGAGCGATGGACGCGGAAGATCTGAGCGGCGTGCTCACGGAGGACGGCCGGAACGCGAAGGCGGTGCTGTGTCCGCGGTGCGACTCGCAAGTGCTGAGGCCGCGCGCCGCCGCCATCGTCCACAAGCAGGTTGACGAGTGGCGCGACACCACCACCACCACCACGAGATTGTCAGTTCTCTACTGCTAGATTGTAGCTCTACACCACGAGATTGTCATTCTCCACCACGAGATTGTCAGTTCTCTACTGCTAGATTGTCACTCTACACCACGAGATTGTCAGTTCTCTACTGTGAGATTGTCACTCTACACCACGAGATTGTCAGTTCTCTACTGCTAGATTGTCACTCTACACCACGAGATTGTCAGCTCTCCACTGTGAGATTGTCAGTTCTCTACTGCTAGATTGTCACTCTCCACGAGATTGTCATTCTCCACCACGAGATTGTCAGTTCTCTACTGTGAGATTGTCACTCTACACCACGAGATTGTCAGTTCTCTACTGCTAGATTGTCGCTCTCCACCACGAGATTGTCAGTTCTCTACTGTGAGATTGTCACTTTCCATCACGAGATTGTCAGTTCTCTACTGCTAGATTGTCACTCTACACCACGAGATTGTCGCTCTCCACCACGAGATTGTCACTCTCCACCACGAGATTGTCAGTTCTCTACTGCTAGATTGTCACTCTACACCACGAGATTGTCAGTTCTCTACTGCTAGATTGTCACTCTACACCACGAGATTGTCAGTTCTCTACTGCTAGATTGTCACTCTCCATCACGAGATTGTCAGTTCTCTACTGCTAGATTGTAGCTCTACACCACGAGATTGTCAGTTCTCTACTGTGAGATTGTAGCTCTACACCACGAGATTGTCAGCTCTCCACCACGAGATTGTCACTCTCCACCACGAGATTGTCAGTTCTCTACTGCTAGATTGTCACTCTACACCACGAGATTGTCAGTTCTCTACTGCTAGATTGTCACTCTCCACCACGAGATTGGCACTCTCCACCACGAGATTGTCACTCTCCACCACGAGATTGTCGCTCTCCACCACGAGATTGTCACTCTCCACTGTGAGATTGTCACTCTCCACCACGAGATTGTCAGTTCTCTACTGCTAGATTGTCACTCTCCACCACGAGATTGTCACTCTCCACCACGAGATTGTCACTCTCCACCACCAGATTGTCACTTTCCACCACGAGATTGTCACTCTCCACCACGAGATTGTCACTCTCCACCACGAGATTGTCACTCTCCACCATGAGATTGTCACTCTCCACCACGAGATTGGTCACTCTCCACCATGAGATTGTCACTCTACACTACGAGATTGTCACTCTCCACCACGAGATTGTCACTCTCCACCACGAGATTGTCACTCTCCACCACGAGATTGTCACTCTCCACCACGAGATTGTCACTCTCCACCACGAGATTGTCACTCTCCACCACGAGATTGTCACTCTCCACCACGAGATTGTCACTCTCCACCACGAGATTGTCACTCTCCACCACGAGATTGTCACTCTCCACTACGAGATTGTCACTCTCCACCACGAGATTGTCACTCTCCACCACGAGATTGTCACTCTCCACCACGAGATTGTCACTCTCCACCACGAGATTGTCACTCTCCACCACGAGATTGTCACTCTCCACCACGAGATTGTCACTCTCCACCACGAGATTGTCACTCTCCACCACGAGATTGTCACTCTCCACCACGAGATTGTCACTCTCCACCACGAGATTGTCACTCTCCACTACGAGATTGTCACTCTCCACCACGAGATTGTCACTCTCCACCACGAGATTGTCACTCTCCACCACGAGATTGTCACTCTCCATCACGAGATTGTCACTCTCCACCACGAGATTGTCACTCTACACCTCGAGATTGTCACTCTCCATCACGAGATTGTCACTCTCCATCACGAGATTGTCACTCTACACCTCGAGATTGTCACTCTCCACCACGAGATTGTCACTCTCCACCACGAGATTGTCACTCCACCACGAGATTGTCACTCTCCATCACGAGATTGTCACTCTACACCTCGAGATTGTCACTTTACACCACGAGATTGTCACTCTCCACCACGAGATTGTCACTCTCCACCACGAGATTGTCACTCTCCACCACCAGATTGTCACTCTCCACCACGAGATTGTCACTCTCCACCACGAGATTGTCACTACACCACGAGATTGTCACTCTACACCACCAGATTGTCACTCTCCACCACGAGATTGTCACTCTACACCACCAGATTGTCACTCTCCACCACGAGATTGTCACTCTCCACCACGAGATTGTCACTCTCCACCACGAGATTGTCACTCTCCACCACGAGATTGTCACTCTCCACCACCAGATTGTCGCTCTCCACCACGAGATTGTCGCTCTCCACCACGAGATTGTCACTCTCCACCACGAGATTGTCACTCTACACCGTGAGATTGTAGCTCTCCACTGATTGCAAGATCTCCACTGCGAGATTGTCAGCGGCTCGCAATCTCAAGTTTGTGAGTTAAAATCCTCGTTGGGGGGGGTTGAGGGCTTTGAATCGACCGATCATTGCATCGACCTCCGGGGTCAATGTAACTTCTGAGTGCCCCGTTGTGGCAAATTCAACCGTGGTTGTCCTATAGATAGACTCGGTCCTGGCACATTACCGTGGAATTTCCACCACTGGCTTAGGGCTGTAAATAGATGAGCACCACCTCTGACTTCTTGGCTGTTTGAGCATGAAGACACTTTCCTTGGGGTTCATCTTCTTGGTTCTTTCGGTAAAGTCACGTAGAAGGGAAGTAATAAAATAATAAAAATAAAACATAATCACATAATTCTCACGACGTTTCGACCACAACGCAAGCAGCCGTCCTCAGGTGAAAACGAGACTTTACCGAAAGAACCAAGAAGATAAATCCCTGCAGTCACGAAAGCTTTAAATCGAAATTTCCTTGGGGTGTTCCTCCCTAACACACTGAACATTATTTAGTTTCATTCAGAATGAGTTAGAAGGCAGCAAGGTTGCTTACTTATTTGTGCTGAGTGTTTTTTTTATCAAGGTATTGAAATCCAGTCCTGTTGTTTCTTCACTGGTTTCCATGATTTTTACAGCTTTACGAGACACTCCCCACCTTGATGGGTAATCACCATCTTTATCCTTGTTTTTGTTCATATGAGGTGATAATAGGGCATGTTTCTTAATTCACGTAATTCGTAGAGCACAAGGTGCCGTTTAAAAGACATCGTCTCCAGTTGATTCACAGTAGGGCTGCTGATATTGCTGTGTAATCCCAGTTAGATATTTTTGCAGGGTCTTGTCATTTTCAAATTTTTGGCCAAGACGCCCCTATGCTAAATTTGGTCTCTTTTCGGACGCTGTCGCGGGAGGGCATTTAAACGCCCACCCCCAAGGCGCGCGTCTCGCGCGCTCTGCCATTAATACATCTACTTGCAGCAATTTACATAAAGCGGTTTTGATATGCGGAGTGTATCGAAGCGCTGTATGAATGCAAAGATTATTATCATTGTTATAATTATCAGATGACGCTGCCAAGCATGAAGAAGTCGGCAGTGGTGGCGGCGGCGGAGGCAGGTGTGGCGCCAGAACCGGAGCTCCTGAACCAGCACTGGGTGGTGAACGACATGTACGCCTTCGAGAACGTCGGCTTCACGCACACGCTCGCCGGGGCCAACGTCAAGTACCTGGCGTGCGCCGACTGCGAGGCCGGTCCCATCGGCTGGCACTGCCTGGACGACTGCAGCAGCTACTACGTCGCGCTGGGGCGCGTCAAACACGCGTGACGACGCGATGCGCGGCTCGGGATGGGGGGAGGGCGGCGGTGGGGGAAGATTGTAAACGTCCCGTCAGAGACTCTTGAGCTGAAAGTCTGCGGGGGTTTGAGTCTGATTAGCTTGCCACTTGCTGGTCCTCGGGGGTTTATTGAGTCGATGGCTTCAGCCCAGTAACATGCGATGGCACGGCCACCAGTGATTCCATTTTGGTGGAGTGGCTCAGATGTCAGAGGTTAGAGGCTGAGCTGGCACCACTGAGATCTCGGGTTCCAATCCGGGCAGCTGGCTGTGGTTAAACCACATTCTTCTCAAGTGCAGTGAGTTGATGGGCTCTGCTCGAGCATGAGTGACTGCACGGGAAAAAAAGGCTAAATTGGTTCCGTACTCGATTTGACTACATTTCCTGAAGATTAAAGTTTCAGATTAACTCATGAAACAAACATTGCTCTTTGTAGCAGGGTGGGTGGGGAAAAGTGCTGACCAAAGGTCCACTTGAAGGGATCTTGGAAATAGTTCTGTGGTATCCGCTTCCACGGGCCTTTCTCCCAAAATGAAGGGTGGCATTGCTTTGTATGAAATTTCAATGGATACTTTGTCTTGTGACGTTGTGCCGAGAGCACGAAAAGGATATATTGACGTGGGGGGGAATAAAAATGGGGTTTAACGTCATCATATTCCCGAGCTGGAGACTGAAAGTGAAGTTTTATTGTTGCATCATTGAAAAGGGCATACAAGAGCGCTCTGACGATATGTGGGAGGGAGACTGCAGTGACTGACACCTCCTCCTCTGGGGCCATTTCCTGGCACAATGTGATGTTAAGACGACGTGCTGTGAGAGTTTCAGATGAAGTGTAACAACGTGACACGTGACAAGAAGAACACGAATGTTCGTGATAATGTTTTTAATTTTTAATGATGCGCACGTGTGAGCATATCTGTGCCCAACACAGTCATGCAAATTCATCTTCCACCCCCCTCCCCGCCAGTTAGAATCTGCGTCAGCTTTCATTTAACCGTGAAAAACACCCCGTTGGAGTTGACTATCCCTTCTTAAAGGGAAGATTCGCCGACTCGTACATGAAGGGTGGTTATTTAACTTTTTCTTGGTTGTGTGCATTTTTGAAACGGAACATCTAAGACGCGTAGGATTGTGTGGCAGGTCTTCCAGTAACTCCAGTCGCTCCTCCCCATCTCGACGCACACTGCCGTGTTTACCAAATCGCGCTATATCTGCAGCGTGGAACGACCCTTGCACACGCACGGCGCGAAAGAAGTTCAACGTGTGTACGGGGAAATGGTTGATGTATGTAGCAAAGTGCTCTTATCTCCGTTCAAGCATCAAGATGTCATCAAGGCCAAAGCCATTGATGCCACAGCAAATGCTTTCTACCCTCTACCAGATACCGCAGCTGCTGAACCGCAGTGGACATGCAATCTCAAAGATCTGCCCTTCTTGTCACGCACCATCTGCTCAGGTCTTCCCCTTGGTTAGATTAGTGGAGACTGGGACGTTTTTATTTTACGTACACATTGCTCACCCTGCATTCTGTTTAGGTCGGCGTGTGAGAACTGGAGTCTGGGTAATGTGGGGTTTGTATGGCTTGGCAACTCCTCCAACGGCATGATTGTTGCCAGTGACACATTTTTCATCTGCCAGGTCAGTTGATTAATTTATTAAAGTGGGTACTATAAGGAAAACCCAGGCTGGGATGTTCATCAGAGTGTAATGGGGGGAGTCCCTTTCCACTTTTTGGAGCGCACTAACAAAGCTGACTGCTGTTTTACATAAAAAATGAAACTTCTGCAGTATTCATTTGAAACAGTAGGGTATATATTAATGTTTTGTACTTTTTCGTTACTCACTGAGCAAACCACGGTATTAAAGAAATCTGGTGTGTTTATGATAATGCTGTATATGAAGGACAGTTAAAACTGTTTTGAAAACAGAATCTTAAAGGTGTACACATACACCCAATGTTATTGATATGTAATCCCTTCTGTTATACAACTGGGTGACACTGGGAGATTGGCATGGGCTTGGCCCATGCCACGCGGGCAGCGGCGGTCATTTGACCATACATCACCACGCTGGTTAATGCGTGGTGGGATGGTGCATAGACGTTGGAGCATAGTACGGTACAACAATGAATATTTATGCACTGCCCTCTGTTGACGTAGCCCTGCAAGCAGCCTATAACACCTGTTTGATCGCATGGTGGTTACCCGTAAAGGCGAGAAGTTCAATCCTGTCGGCGAAAACAGTCGTGCCACCAACTTGACCGTGTAAGAGTGCAACGGTGAGTTAAGCGAAGCTGAATAAAAACACATACGCCTTTGTGTTGGAGTAAATTGTTCTGATGTCGGTGCACGTTTATACGGCAAAGATTTATTTATGATATCGGTGGTGACTGCTTTACTTGTTGACGAACAATACTGTATTTAAATTCCCAGTGTTATTGAAATATGTTACGGTTCAACGACGAAGGGAAAGCATTGTTAAACACGTAAATACGAATAATTATTGTACATTTGCATGTAACACTGTCGAAAAAGACTACTCAGAAGAAAATAATTACACTTGCTGGCGAGGTGTGGCCGCTGGTTTGGTGGTGGTTGTGACGATGGCAGTGTTGGCTGAGTGACCCAAGCTGGGGCAGTAACAATGAGGGCCCTTGGGTTTGGCACAGTCCACAGATTAAGAGCCATACGCAAGTGAGGACTCTTGCAAAGGACGCACGCCGGTGACACTGCCAAGGTGGTTTCATTGTTTTGTTTGTTTTGGTCAATCCACTGCTGGATGAGGGGCCCTCTTCCCCCACCCCACACCGCGCCTTGCAGGCCGTGGGAGATGGTTGGCCGTGACCTGGCCGCTGGTCGGCCACGTTGGGGTGGCGGAAATCATCACTGACCGCGACTCCTGCGGCGCCAGTCGGCGTCTCTCGCCCACCCGATCGCCCTGCCAAGCCTCAAGCCCCTCGCCGCGTAGCTCCTCGCGAGACGCGTTGTACTGTACTCGTGTGTGCCCCCCCCCCCCTTCACCAACCCGCCGCACTCGTGACCGGCGTGGTGAAGTATGTCGGTGCATAGTAAGAGTCTAAATGCAGTGTGGGACAAGAGGGGAGTGATTGCACTGCGCGTGTCCACGATACTGGCATTGATAACGATGGCGAGATGTTGACTACCTCGCTTGGTGTGCAGGAGGTCGTGGGTTCGATCCCGACCCTTGACGCCTGCTGCTGATGTGTATTTGGAGTTTGCGATGTCTCTCTCCCTGTAGGTCGCGTGGATTTTTCTCCACATTTAGAATCAACTTGCGTTTGGAGTTTGTGGCTGCTCTAAATCTCTACATTACAAGCCGACAATTCGTCGAGGCATCCTTCGAGGCCAGGTCGCTTCTGAATGGTCTACAGCTCAGTGGGCTTTGCCCGGTCAAAATAAAACATTTAGTTAAGCACTTTACACATTTCTGCACACACGTGTATCTGTATCAACTACCGACCTTGGGAGCTGCTATACAATTGATGCACAGTGTGGTGATTCTGGACTTGGTTACCCTTGTTAACACCATATAAGTGCACACAGAGCTTGATAACAATAATGTAATCTTCACATATACCCATCACTAACGATATATATGGATTACATGTATCATTGACTAAGTAGATAGTAATACCATTAGAATCCCCCACCCTGTGTCACTCATCAAACTGCTCGTCTATCCCGCCATCTGACTCACCGAGTTCAAAGTCAGGTTCTGGATCATCCTGCAGTTTTTGGTTACTGCAGGTCTGTAACCTGCACAGGTTGACAGGCTCGTGCAGCTTGGCATTTTACATGAACGCACACACTTGCATGCTAGCCGTTGCCAGACCACATCTGGTTGCGGTGGGGAGCGCATCCAGTAAATGGCCAGCTTGCCATCATCGTCTGTCCATCCATACTCAGTAGGGCTTGGCACCACAGGGTCAGCCTGCAGACAGCACTTCCAGATTGCTGCCTGATAGTTTGCTCGTTGAACTTGCGTGAAGATACAGTCTCTACATGGTGGCAGCTGGCTGGACTCGACTTCTCCCCTTTTGGTGCAGAAGAGCTGGTAGCGCAGTTGGTTCACCTCATCAGTGCTGCTATTAGCAACATACATGCGACAGGTGAACTGTTCAATTTTCTGTAACAGCTCATCACTCACATTCCATGACTGCCCCAGTCGACTAAAAGTCTCTTGGCAGGAAGTGTCCTTTCTCGCCATCTTGAGGGCATTCAGCTTCCCTCGACCGGCAAATGCACTGACAGTGTCGCAGCCTGTGGAGGCGTGTAAGCCAATTAGGCTGTCACAGATGCTGTCTCCCAAGTAACCTTGCCAGTTTGCTGATATCGACAAATCGTATGCGGTTCTGTGTCCCACACTTCTGGTAGATCGGACAGGTGATGTCCTTCTGGAAGCCAAGATAAAGCACCATGACATCAGTGTCCTCAGCTGTGATGATAACTGCCTGTGAGCCCACATTTGCTGCATGCAATGCATGCAGGAGCAGACGGGTGTCAGCTTCTTCATGCGTGGAGTGCAGCTCTGATACTTCCTCACACTCATCTTCTGTCAACTTGTAGCAGGTTTCCTCACAGGTCATGTACAACACCTTTCCATGCAGCATCTCTCTGTCTCGTGGGAGTTTCCACTCTTCCACCAGAAACTTGATGAGACTGGTCTTGTTGGAGGGACTGCACAGGAATTTTCTCCACTGCTGGACGTGGTGTCCCCCTGCAAGGTTCTTGTACTGGAGAGTGGTGTCTGCACCCCGGTTCGGTCGTTCAGCATATTTGATCAAAGTCTGTAGGTAGACATCAAAAACAACATCAATCTCACTCTGTGCCCCCTCGTGGAGGACCTGGGTCAAGGCTGACTCTGCCACCTATACAAAGGTTTTGTTGTTGCCATTCATTTTTTTGGACCAGGCTCATCCCATCAATGATGGAAGTAGATGGGGTTGGGATGTCTTCTGCAGGAGACACATTCTTTTCAAGCTCCCTGGCAAGTGCAGTCTTGTTTTTCGTAGGGACCAATCAGCATTTGCCAGTGCCCATGGCAGTGGGCCCAGTGGGTGGGCAAGGACATCCTTCATATTCACGTTCCTGCTTTCAGTCACCAGGATCATGTGGCTGAACAGGTTTCTACCTGGCGAATTGCCCGATGATGCTGGATGCAATTACCAGCGAAACGTCGTACTCAAATTGTAAATGTTGTGGTTTCATGCTTCAACACACCGGTGGGCTAAAACAGTGAACTATTTGTCTTTTGTCAACATGACACTTTTTTACTGATTGGCCGTGTCGGGTGGTGGAGGGTTACGACACATTTATAAATAACGCGATCTAAACCCAAAAACGTTGATTATGGACATTTGACAGATGTTAAAAACAGATTTTCGCCAATTTTTTTAGATATAATACCACATAAAATTTTAATGACAAAAAAATCCCTCTGAGATATTCCAAGTAGGAAGCAGTATGTAGAATTATGTGTCTTTACCTATTATGATTCATGAGTTGTCAAACTCGGCATGCAAAATGCCAGTTTGAGAATATCGCAATGCCAGTTCTGGCATTGTGATGCTCGTAGCAATGAGATTGGAGAGGTCTACCTGTGTGTTCCCCCTCTTATTGCCATGACAGCAAAGTAAATAGCCATGTATGACTCAGCTAGGCATCTGCTCCAGAGAATAAGCTTGCCAATGATAGGCAATTCAACTAGGTTATTTCTTAAGATGCGGAGAAAAATTGCGCTGAAAGATGCAAAAAATGCTTTGTTTACTTGGCGAAATCTGTATAAAATCGTAAAAACTAACTATTTATAAAATATTAATAGTTAGTTTTTATTATTTTAATCATGAATTAATAATTGTGTGCATGTAACGAAAGTTTACAATTTATAGAAGCAAATATAAAAAAATATAAAAATTGACAAACTTAACAAAAATCATATTTGCCTGTAGTAGCTGGCCTTAACTAATAATCTCAACAGGTACATTAACAATACATTGAGGGTAAAGTTATCACTTTAGCTATCTTTACTGAACAGAAAATATACAGAACCACCAGTACTTGCCTCACCTGCCAGCAAATGATCATGAGCAAACAAGCTGCTAGAAACGGAAGGAAAACAGATAGCGCCAATCTATTCCAGACTTCACTAAGTCACTGCAATTGAAGAACAAGTGTGAATAAATGCAAGAATATGTATGACATACATGCCTTGGGGATAAACATCCATTTAGTAAATTATTCATTGTCTTAATTAACAGCAGAGGTGTTGGAATGTTTTATTTGTAACGTCCGGGCAAATAGGCGTGATTGCGATAGGTGCAAAAACAGGTTTCCTGCGAGAAAAATTAAACAGCTGCTCATTTGGAAAGGTTATCGTGTATTATTTTACTTCTGTTGGTGTCACAAATAAAATGGCACCATTGAAGTGGTGCCACCTTGTGTGGTACCGATATCTCGTCTGGCTCAAGGACTAAATGTGCAGTTCCTGTTTAAAAAAAATACCATTCCTCCGGGGTCGATCAAATATGTACCACTTTGTGGGGAAGTCAACGGTGCTTGTCCGATAGGTGGACTCGATCCTGTCAGAGGATCGTGAAATGTCCACCACAGGTGGGTGAGTGGGTGAATGAGATGGTGAGTGGATGAGTGGTGGGCGAGTGGATAAATGAGATAGTAAGTGGATGAGTGAGTGGATGAATGAGATGGTGAGTGGATGAGTGAGTAATGAGATGATGAGTGGCTGAACGGGTCGGTGAGTGTGTGAATGAGATGGTGAGTGGATGAGTGAGTGGGTGAATGAGATGGTGAGTGGATGAGTGAGTGGGTAATGAGATGATGAGTGGCTGAGCGGGTCGGTGAGTGGGTGAATGAGATGGTGAGTGGATGAGTGAGTGGGTGAATGAGATGGTGAGTGGATAAGTGAGTGGGTGAATGAGATGGTGAGTGAATGCGCGGGTGTGCGTGAGTGGGTGAATGAGATGGTGAGTGAATGAACAAGTGAGATGGTGGGTAACTGGGTAAGTTCGAGTACAGCATTGAATGAGCTTATGAGTGAGTTCAAGTCTCAGATTGATTTCGTGTAACAAGGTGAGGAATCAGAATGTCAGAATATGTATTTACTGTCAGGAACCGGCGGAACGAACGCGAGGATTTTATGATGAGCAGAGCGCTACTTATTATCAGTAAACTCTTACACTTCCACACACACTCAAAGATCCCCCATATAGCTTTGACAGACTTGGGGAAAGTGCTATTAGCGAGTAGCACTTCATGAAAGCCGGCAACGGCACACAAGAGGGTGGGTAGCCAGCACCACGTCCGACCGCCTTTGTCTCCCCAGTGGCGAATCCACACATCAAGATCGGGATCGACTTCACGACCTACTGCATACCAAGTGAGGTAGTTATGGTTGTTATTGGTTCTTTCGGTAACGTCACGTAGAAGGGAAATAATAAAATAATAAAAGATTAAACAATAAAAACTTCTCACGACGTTTCGACTGCAACACAAGCAATCATCATCAGTCACGAAAGCTTTAAATCAAAATGTCTTATGGTTGTTATTGTTTGACTTGCATCCCACTGGGATTTTTGCACACAGCATTGATATACGGTGCTTTTTCTAGAAGACTTTGCTATTTTTTTCTTGGTTCTTTCGGTAAAGTCACGTAGAAGGGAAGTAATAAAATAATAAAAATAAAACATAATAAAATAAAATAATTCTCACGACGTTTCGGCTACAACGCAAGCAGCCGTCTTCAGGTGAAGAATGAGACACTACCAAGCTAGGAGCTTATATATAAGCTGGGTTGGAGGTGGAAGAGCGCCTTAACAAAAAGAATGTGCATATGAAGAGGAATTTAGCATATTCATGGGAAATGCTAAATTCCTCTTCATATGCACATTATTTTTGTTAAGGCGCTCTTCCACCTCCAACCCAGCTTATATATAAGCTCCTAGCTTGGTAGTGTCTCATTCTTCACCTGAAGGCGGCTGCTTGCGTTGTAGCCGAAACGTCGTGAGAATTATTTTATTTTATTATGTTTTATTTTTATTATTTTATTACTTCCCTTCTACGTGACTTTACCGAAAGAACCAAGAAGATGATCCCCTGCAGTCACGAAAGCTTTGAATCGATACTTTGCTATTTTTTCCTGGATTTTTCTGTTTGCGCATAGTCACTTTAAGATGTTTCTTGTTCATGTTTTTGTTTGTTGCGCTTGCACCCGATTCAAGAGCCGAATGGCTCACAGGGCTATACCTAATACATGAAACTGAACTGAGCTCCATCTCAGATCCCTTATTCCGGTGACACTCTGGTCCGCACACAGTAGAGGGCAGCACTTGCCCTGTACACGAGAGGGAGGGCTCCTCACATGACAATTCGATATTTTAATTGTTAAGAGTTGATTCAGAATTTAGCCGGAACAAAATTGAATGTGATGGTTTTTTTATTGAGTGCAATCACTCGTGATGGGGCTGAGACCAGCAACTCGCTTCACTTGTACGGGTGTATGTCAAGGACAGTGCATGCATTATCAGAGTTATGTTTTTTGTTTGCATTCCACTGCAGGTATTGTGGTCAATGCAAACATGACTCCTTGTAAAAAAGGTGTCAGTTTTGTTTCCAGCTAAAAGGGTAAAAAACAATTATCATATTTTGCTACTGGCAAATGAGGTTCCAATGGTATGTTAAACTTATTTTGCTCCATACGTGACTAACCGCGCTAATCGGAGGTGCGGGAGAAGGACAAGCTAAACACACAAAAAGTAATATTTTAAAATACTTTTTTTTAAACACGCTTTAATGAAATGTACCGTACGAGTAATGGCAAAACTCTACGATTCCAGGAAGTGGCCCCGAAGCTGCTATAAATTTCCACATGATAAGCCACTTTGTTGAGCTATCACGTGTAGCCTGGTCATTTATGAAAAATGGCTGTATAGCTCAGTGGGCCTTACTAGGTAAAATAAAAATACAGACCATCGATTATCCGGTGGGTTTGGAGGGAAGGGATTGCCGGATTTTCAAAAACGCCTGATAATCACTACATCATTATTTAAAATAGCTTATTTTGCATATTCTTGTATAACGTTATCTTTCTAGGTGTTGTGTATATGTTTTAAAATTGTTTACTATATGAAATTAGCATGAACATACAAATAGACAACAATAAATATCCTACTGTAAAAAGTTACACTGTTTCGTGCACCGTACTTAACACTCCAATCTCGAAGACTCTGCATGGGGTGATGTATGTGTAGTGTAGCACTCAGAGAGACGCATTTTTGCTTAAGATATATATTTATTATATAAGTTGTCCACCCGACTCGATGACATGTTATCAGGTGGACACAGGTTGACGATATACAACTGGGTGACTCGATGGAGCTGCTACGCTCACTATATAGCCGACTCCCTATAGGCGAGCCGTCGATGTAGTAGCCACGGTGAAGGTCTACAACTCCCTTCCCAGCCTTCTAAGACGCTGAGGGCGATCCCCAGCGATGACAACCATCCTTGGTGGCAATTGCCATTAAAGCCAATGGACCAACTTACCGCGATCAGTTTGGCCGCCAAAGTCTAAACCGCAAGCGTCGTCTGGGAGCCCAACATGGAGATGACCGCCATTTGATAGCGGGCGCCAGCACGTGCAGCCGGCGCGTGCGTGCCGCTGATTGGCTCAGAGTCGGCCGCCGTTAATCCAATCGCTGCAAAGGAAGAGCAGACCCCCCCCCCCCCCCCCCCGACAAAGATCCCCCGTTATAGCCTTCACAGACTGTTGGGGCAAGTGCTGTAAGCCAGCACCTATGAAGGCCACGCCGGACCACCTTTGTCTCCCAAGTGGCGATGTTTTTTTGAACTACACACCGCACCAGGTGCTCATTTGAGGCTGAGTCGACCTAGGGGAGGCCCACGACCTGTTCAGACAATCGTTCACCGGTGTTTGGGCACGCGAGCCGGGAATCGAACTCGGGTCGGCCGAGTTGCTAACCGCTGCGCCACCGCTCCCTCCTCCCCCCCATTGCCCCCCTCCCATTGCCTCCCTCCCCCCGATTTTTCCCCCTCCTCCCCCCCCCCTCATTGCCCCCCTCCTCCCCCCATTGCCCCCCTCCCCCCCCCATTGCCCCCCTCCGCCGCCATTTCTCACCCCTCCCCCATATTCCCCCTCCTCCCCCCTTACCCACTCCCCCCCCATTATCTCCCTCCCCCCGATTTTCCCCTCCTCCCCCCATTTACCCCCTCCTCCCCCCCATTTACCCCCCTCCTCCCCCCCATTTACCCCCCTCCTCCCCCCATTTAACCCCCTCCTCCCCCCCATTTACCCCCCTCCTCCCCCCCATTTACCCCCCTCCTCCCCCCCATTTACCCCCCTCCTCCCCCCCATTTACCCCCCTCCTCTCCCCCATTTAACCCCCTCCTCCCCCCCTCCCCGCCCCCCCTCCCCATTGCCCCCCTCCGCCGCCATTTCTCACCCCTCCCCAATTCCCCCTCCCCCCCCATTGTCCCCCTCCCTCCCCCCGCCGCCGCCATTTCTCGCCCCTCCTCCCCCCCCATTATTTCCCCCTCCCCAAGTTTAAAACGATCACGTGACGCGACTTCACCCAATGGGTGACGTCTGAGGGGGGCAAACATTTGCCGCCATTATTGAATTGGAGGCGCGCGGTGTTTTCAGGCTCCCGCCTGCACGAATTTATCCTCCCGAGTGTTGATTGTGAACGGAATTTTAAAGTAATTAATAACGTTTTTACCGTATAATTGTGACAGCGCAACCCAACCAGCGGAGCCGTATAAAGTGAAGTCAACGGAGACGTTAAACGTCGAGACGCGTTCGTGCGAAAATTTTGGCCTCGCAACCGTTGCAAACTTCTGCACCAGCATCGTAAACTCGCAAAGGGGAAACATTCTTGAAGACGCTTACGGATGAGTTCGTCGAGAAAACGTTCGAGGCGAGCCTCAAGAGCTGCGATCCGTGGCCCTGCAAACTCGCGTAGCGGGAACGGCGAAACGACGCCGGCCGTCGTGGCAGACCACGTGGCACCGCCATCTCCTGGACGACTTCGCTGTTAACGTCGAAGGCGAGAATAGTGAAACGTGTGAGTAAGGAAACGACTCTTTGCGAAACAAACGTGTAAACGTTACTTTTTGTATGTATTACAAGGTTGTAATGTTTACGCTTGGGGTTCAAACTACTGTTGTGTTTGTTCGTTTTAACACGTGGGATTTCGCTAATAATATACATGTTCTAGATTTGAAGTTTTCGTGACTGCAAGGGTCCATACTCTTTGTTTTTTCGGTAAAGTCACGTAGGTAATTTTTTTTATTCAATCACGACGTTTCGGAGGCAACACAAGCCTCCGTCTTCAGATGGAGCCGTCACAGCAAAATTACTGTATCAGTACAATTACTGTATCGGTACTGTATCAGTAAAATTACTGTATCGGTACTGTATCAGTAAAATTACTGTATCGGTACTGTATCAGTAATTTTGCTGTATCAGTACTGTATCAATAAAATGACTATCGGTACTGTATCAGTAAAATGACTATCGGTACTGTATCAGCAAAATTACTGTATCGGTAAAATTACTGTATCGGTACAATTACTGTATCAGTAATTTTGCTGTGACCTGAAGCTTGTGTTGCCTCGGAAACGTCGTGATTTAATTTATTTTCTTTTTTACCTACGTGACTTTACCGAAAAAACCAAATAGTAATATTAATGAGGTTTTTTTTGGGGGGGGGGGGGTGGTTAAATATAAATATGCACGTGTCGTTAAACCCGCCATAGGCAGGTACTAGTTTAGCACACCGGTGTGTTGGAGAGTAAACCCGCGAAACATTTGTGCTACGAAGTGTCATTGCCCGAAACGTCGCCATTTATTTGAAGCTCACACACAAAGTGTTCTTGATGAATGTGTCGAGTGTGATATCTTTTTTAAATACTGTATATATATTTGCGGGCGCATTTTGGCGTTGGTAGTTTTAAGAGGTTGAGTACAGTAGAATGATGGCTTTGCGGCACTGTCCCCGTGGGTGCCCCCCACGTGGTCCCCCCCCCCCCCACGTGTTCCCGCCCCCCCCCCCACGTGTTCCCGCCCCCCCCCCCACGTGTTCCCGCCCCCCCCCCACGTGTTCCCGCCCCCCCCCCACGTGTTCCCGCCCCCCCCCCACGTGTTCCCGCCCCCCCCCCCACGTGTTCCCGCCCCCCCCCCCCACGTGTTCCCGCCCCCCCCCCACGTGTTCCCCCCCCCACGTGTTCCCACCCCCCCCCGTGTTCCCGCCCCCCCCCCCACGTGTTCCCGCCCCCCCCCCCCCCACGTGTTCCCGCCCCCCCCCCCCCACGTGTTCCCGCAGCAGCCTGTAGCACCTGGAACGCACGCGCGTGGCACATCCACACGCGGTCCAGGCTCGGCCCCAGCTTCGCTTCCGAGATCGGCCACATTCCGGGTGATGTTGACAATGTGCCTTCGATGGCAGTACAGGATATCGGTTTATAGTATTATTTATTCCTTAATTTACGTGTGTTTTTTAAACCGGTTATGAAACTACTGCAACGTTAAACGTATTAAGAATGTGCACTGAATGCCTACTTTATTGAGGTAGATATTGGCACATAAATAAACATTGAAGAACCCTATCATTTAAGGGTGTTTATATAAGTAACGTTTGATGTATTTTATACAATGCATGTGAAGCCTTAACATTGTCATTGGCAGTGCGGTCACGGGTGATTCTTATAGTTTATCTGGCCATTCATAACTTCCTTTCATCTTCACCTTTGTCCACGTTTTACTTGCTATTTACACGGCGCATCGATTAATTAGGCCCATTTTCCCCAAAATATCGACAATTTCACGGTGAGGTTTTGTTGAAATTTAATCATCTTTACGAAAGTGCCCCCTACTTTAGCAGACGACAGAGAGTTAGTTTGACTTGTATTTCATTTGTTAGCCGGATGATCCTGTTTAGCCAGCTTGCCTGGCTATTTTACAAGGGAGATCCGTGGTTCCTTGTGAACAGAACAACAACAAAACAAAGACAAATATCAATGTTGCAGACAATAAGTGCAGGGTCCCTAAGTATTTGTAATTGTGAACAAAGCAAAAAAAAAATGCCAGTGTCTTTAAAATCGTCGACTTATCCCAGTATTAGAACTCATGATATTTGCATTGCCGGTTCAATTGACACAGACACCAGCCCACTCATTATCAGCGAAGAGATGTTATCAGCTGACAAATTTTTTTTTTGGTTTTGTTGTCCCTAGCACGGTTAACGTGAATTACTCAGCAGCGCTCGATCGGGGAGTAACAATCCGTGGAATTCTAGCCGGAGCGCTAGCCGAAGTCCCTGTTGCGTCGGGCGATGGCGTGTTCCCGCCCCCGGAATGGGAACTTTGCGGATGATCGCCAGCGGCTGCCGTGTTCCGGCCCACGGAATAGGAACTTCGCGGATGATCGCCAGCGGCTGCCGTGTTCCCGCCCCTGGAATGGGAACTTCGCGGATGATCGCCAGCGGCTGCTCTCGCGTCCAGAGACAAGCGGCTGCCAGCCACCATCGTCTGCCGACGGCTCTCGAGTGAAGAACAACGCGTCAGCAGACGCCAAGGGACCACTAGTGTCCCCTGGTAGGAGTGTGGCAATCGACATTTGAATTGTCTTTGGGAATGATAAAAATGTTGTTCTCCAATTCATGACAACATTTCCGGTTCGTGCCTGATCAACTGCTGCTGTGGGAGACCATGTGACTTGTAATTTCAGACAGGTTCAAGTTTCAACTATGCTCATAACCCCTCTGGCTTCGATAAAATAGCTACCAATTTGTGGAAAAACAACAGCTGTTATCCAATGGAAACTGGTCTCTGTGGTAGGAATTTGTAATTTCCTGAGGTGGCTCGTAGTGCTGAGCCAACAGCGCTGAAATTCTACCTTTAAATATGGGTCCCAGCCACTTGTGATTAAAACGCGCTTCTCATTTGTCGTAAGTTGAGGGTCACGAATGACTGCACGAAAAAAAAAACCTACAAATTTGGTTCCGTGCTTAAGTTGGGTAAATTCCAGCTCTGAGCATTAAAAATATCACTTTCACGGTTACATGCAAGAAGCACTAATCTCACAGCACAGTGTGTAAGAATGGTGGTGGTCAGTATTTTGAATTTAGTTTTGATATTTTGCTTTTTTCCAATCAACAGACACAGCCTTGGAGGAATGTGTTTACACAAAGCAAGACATTCGACTGAAAATATTCATGGATCAGCAGGCAAAAGCTAAGGTGCTTGAAAGTATTGTTCTTGTGAAAAAAAATATTCTGTCAAATCATTACACATTTAGGAAACGCAATGGGTGGCAGTGTGCCGCAGTGGCGGTAACACTTGTGCCTCACGGCCAGAAGGGACCTGGGTTCTATTCCCGATGCAGGTATTCTTTGATTCCCGAACGTTGGGTTTTGGAAATTTCGCGTAAACGAATTGACAAATTACAGACACTTTTCGATTAACGAAATTGAATTTCTGCATTTACGAAATTTCACTGCGGCCACGCGCCGTGAGATCATTAAATGAACCACCTGGGAGGCTGCGGCATCGATCAGCCACAGCGTCACGATGTCCCCACGGTGCAACAGCGACACCTCCACAGCACCTTGCCAGTCATTCCAAAATGCTGATCTTTTGGTGAGTTCCCTGAAGAGGATTTTTAGTATTAACTATTATTCAATCATTTTAATATTTGTTCATTATTGTTATTTTTGTATTGTAAAAAGTGATATAGGTCTATAATTTTAGGCAAGGGGTATAGTTGGAATAATGGTCTGAAACACATCCCTAGTTTTCAGTACTCGGAGGATGGCAAAAGTCGTTAAGATTTACGACATTTTGTTTTACGCGTGTCCTTTTTGAAGAATGCATCCCTTCCGTAAATCGAGGGATTCCTGTATAGGTGCCTTTCCGTGTGGAGTGTGTACATTCTCTCCCCCCCCCCCATGTTCTGCATGGGTTTCTCCGGATTTCCTCCCATAGCTAAAGAACAATATAGTGTCTCTGGCAAGGGCCGGAGCCTGCCATTGATGGGCCAGAGCCTGCCATTGATGAACAATTACCTGCGTGTTCCCCTGTTGCAAAAAAAACTTGGTAGGACCCTCCTAAAGGAGTGTTTTGATTCAGCGATGAGGCTTTCCTAAGTTAAATTAAATACACTTTAAGACTCCAGCTGTACGTTTGGATCCCAATATCAGTCCACATCTATGGGACATCGTGGACCGTACGTTAAAAATGGTTTGTATTCACATTCGCGGCAAAACTACGTGAATCTTTTTTCGTTCACAGGCCTTGGTCCCCCATAACTGCTTCAGAGATGCCCAGGAAGGTAATTAACACAAATCTGAAGCCAATAACACACACAAGCCTAAGCTGAATTTTACAAAACGCTTTCCTAATGTTCCATATATTTTATTAAAAACAAACGTTTCTGCTTTAAACGTGACTTTTTACATTTCAATTGGGTTTTATTTCACGTGACGGTAATCAGAATGTGTTTATTTTACACTTTTTATATGATCGAATTTGTTTTAACATTTGTCTCGTTTTTTTCAATATCGGTAAAGCTCGAAGCATTCGGTTGTGTTCATATCTGTTGCTGGCCTTATGCTAATTGTAAAAATGATTAACTTTATTCCTGTTATACTGTAAAGAAGAGTGGCTGTTGACTACCCACAAAGTGTTACTTGTTTAGTCATCACCAGAGTTGATGATGGGCTGATGGGATAATGAGTGAATGCTGAATATATTCTCATGTTCTACGTGTATTGTGTGTTTTTACATATCATGTAAAGCACAGTGAACCCCCTTGCTGAATTCATTGTAATTTTATTTATTTTTACTGTTTTGTAAATGTGTGTTGACGTACAGGAGCTGCGATTCCCAGTGAGCACCGCGCGTCCCGCAATACGCCGGGTCTCGCGTCGCCGCTGCACTCCCTTTACGGCTGCTTGAGCCTGGCGACGGCACCGGTGCAGGCTGCAGATCCGGAAGACATTCCCACAAAGAATGGTACAGTTCCCTCCTTATAGGTCCTCGTGTTTAACAACACCAAAAAGAACAACGCAATAACAACAGCATAGGATTATTTCAAAATGTTTTAAAAACTAAACTTTGCTAAATATTTTCTGTGTTATCTGAACAATAGCTCTTGCCAAAAATTGTGATACTTTACTGTCTATTCGTGTTACAAAGCAGTGCGATGACTAGCAGCATGTGCTTCAATGTGACCTTGCGATCACTTGTTATTTTAATATATGAACTAAAACTTCTTTTATTTTACCAGGTAAGGCCCACTGAGCTAAATGGCTCTTTTCCAGAAGCAACCTGGCCACAAGTGATAGCTCAATGAAGTGGCTTATCATGTGGAAATGTATAGCAGCAGCCAAATACTCTTAAGCGCACATTGATTCTAAATGTGGAGAGAAAAACCGGAGGACCTGGAGAAAAGCCCTCACGACCACGGGGAGAATACACAAACTCCAATAATACAGGTGTAGAGGTGTAATTGTGTATGGGCACGGATAGCTAACAAACACAAGGGGCGTGGTTAGGGCCGTACACAGAGGAGGTGCTCAAACCGACGTCCGCACCTGCATCCCCCCCCACGGGCCCCTCCCGGGGGCCGAGTGCTATAAAAGGTGGTGAGCCGGAGGGCTCGAGGTCGAGTGTTAGCTTTAACCAGCGAAGAGTGAAGACCTGCTAGAATAGGCCCCGGAGCTCCCCTGGCTCGCTGTCCTTGTCAGGGCCGACCAGGGCAAGCCGGTGGCGTGGCCCCGAGAGCCCAGACTGACGTTCTTATAAGAGCCTGTCTGGAGACTCAGGGTGCCGGGATCCCAGCTTGACCAGGGCTGGGATAGGTAGCCTCCCCTAGCTCCGTAGTGGAGGACTCGGGCGTAGGTTAGCGGGGTTAGACGTTGTGTCTCCCTGTTAGACGAGTGAAGGGGACGATACCCCTTTAAGTGCTGTGTGTACCCGTTACTGTGCACAAGTTGGTGTTAATAAATAAGTGTGCCTCCGACCCCGTCGTCCAAGCCTCTTGCAACTTACTACACAGGCGTCAGGATTGGGATTGAATCCATGACAGTACCAGGCGGGGTAGTTAACATCTCCCACAATTTATGCTAGTTGTGTTATTGGCATCGTGCTATTTGGAAATCTCACAGCATAGAGCCTTATGCTTTTGCAAAAGAGGCTGCGGAAAGATTTTTCACCGAACTTCTCTATTGAAACCCTTCTGTGTTGCTGCTGCTGTTGCTGCTGCGTGCCTGTGCGATTGCCTTCTCAAGGCAGGATCGTCTACTCGCGTGAGCTTCTGCTTAACTATCTGTACAGCCCCCTCTGCTGGGTCAAGCGCTCCCTGCCCAAGTACGACGTGGTGCTTGACAAGCCGGTGAGCGTCGTCATCGAGTCCCGTCGTCATGCGATGATGCTGCCGCGCTGCGTTGGCTTTCAGTTGCCGAACTAATAGATTACATGAGGTCTCGCTTAGTATGCACAAAGTACTTGCCGCAAATTAACCACAATACCTTGCTCATCTCATTAAGGAGCATAAACCATCACGCGAACTCCGGTTAGCCTCGCAGCGGCTTTTGGCTATTGAACAAAGGCATTCGCTGCAGCACGTGCTTCAAGATGCGCTTCTGTGCCCGTCTGGAACGCTCTTCCTTTATTAAGAAGCCACTAGACCTATGCACTTTTAAATCTAGATTGAAAACTATTTTTTTCACTGCTTTTTGTGTTTAATTTGTTGTCCTTCCCCCCCACCTGCGATTAGCGCGGTTGGATACGTACAGTGCAAAAAAGTTCAACATACATTTACCAAGTACATACAACTTTTCAAGAAATAAACTAAGCCTACGTTTCAACTATGATATAAGAAATAATAATCTACTGTTTTACAAAGGTGAGTTGTAGAGCATTCTAAGTTGATTGCAGAGAAGCAGTGGGGTCGTTTAAAGTGCAGTATATACAGTAGTGCAGTACTGTATGGACAGTCTGCCGCTAGCACCACCACTCCTGCAGCATCCTGAAGATCCCGTAAACAACAGATCTACGATAAGCGCACGGCAAGATGTCGGATGGCTGTTGGAATTTTTACGGATACGTGAAGGAAGAATTGTATTGTCGTCTATGACATGCTGGTTATTAGAGCGTTCCGAATGGTAAAGTGACAGATAACAAAGCGTGTTTTGCTGTAGTTTACTCCTGATATAAGAGTGTGTGGCTTTCTTGAAGTTGATGTAATTGATGTGTATATATATATTTTTTATGATGTCTTCCAACACAGCATGGTCATGCACTGAAGATCAAAGACTCGAGCTCTTGAACACTTGCACTGTTTGGTCCACACCAGTGTGCATCGGTGTGGCGCTTTGCTTTGTCACGTTTTCCCGTAAAGGTGAAGCTTTTTTGTGGATAAGATTGACTCACGTTTTTTTGTGCCGTTTAGTTCGAATCCCATATCCTAGTTTAGAACTGAAAATGTACGAAGTTGTTGTTGAAAACGTAAGTTTGCCGAATGCTTTGCTGCAACAGTTAATTTTTTCTTGGAAATACAAAGTGCCGTGTTTTTTTCGTTTTACAGCTACAGTTTTTTGGTAGTGGTTCTTGCTTTGTGTTTTTTTGTTGGAACACAATTGTTTTATGCCTCATGGAAGTGACAAAACATAATAAATGGTTTATATTGAAACTTGTGAAAACCGCATGCGTTGCTTGAGTTTAGAATTATTTTCTCGTTTCAATTGCGGCGTACGTTTCATACATTCGGGTGAGCGTTCTGCGTTATTTTGTAACTTTTAAGTATTTCCCTGCCTATTTGCACAGGCACGGAATTTCGCGTTTCGTCGCCGAAAAACAAACTACTGAGTGAAGTGAATCTTGAGAAAAAAGACTTGTGTGAGGAAATGTGTTAGATAATTTGCTGTAAAATGAAGAAAGATATCTTATTTTATACTAGACTAGCAGCCTTGCACGTCCTTTGTACGTGACCCGCTCGCCAGCCAGTCAGCAAAACTTTTCTCATCTAGTATGATGTCGGACACTGCTAGGGTGGAGAGTGGGTGGGGTGGAGGTGCGACTTCAGTGCCATTATCGAACCCGGCCCACCGCTGTGGGATGTGGGTGACCTCCACTCACCCTAGCCGGGAAGTCAGCCAGCCAGCAAAACGTTATTCTCATAGTATGATACATTGGTTTCTGCACGTAAATTTGAAGTGTTTTTACAACGGATCTGAGTTTTTATTTCTAATTTTGTGTCATTAATCCTCCAATAACCCTGCTCCATTCCTTCTGTAAAAACATGTTTGATCCATTTGATTATTGCTTCAAGTATTGATAACATTTTGATTTAAAGCTTTCGTGGCTGCAGGGATTCATATTCTTGGTTCTTTCGGTAAAGTCACGTAGAAGGGAAATAATAAAATAAAACAAATATACAACAAAAATTCTCACGACGTTTGATGCAACACAAGCAATCTGTTGATGATTGCTTGTGTTGCAGTCGAAACGTGAGAATTTTATATTTTTATTATTTTATTATTTCCCTTCTACGTGACTTTACCGAAAGAACCAAGAATATTGATAACATGGTATGCATTTTTGCGTTTGAATATTTTTGGGGGTTGGGAGATTCAACTCCCTCGGTTCCTAAAACTAATGCTGTGCGATATTGCCCTGACAGCACCTAAAATTCTATCCACCAACTGCACTTAAAAAAATCTCAATTTTCTTTGAGACAAGGCACCTTCTAAATGTCCTTTTAGGCAGGAAAACCTCCCACGGTGCATCCAACCCTACTTGCTGTACTCCCTCCTACTCTTTGTGCTACATCACTGTCCTGGAGGTGTGCATCTCACGCAAGCGATGGCCTCATCGCTGTGTAGTCCACCAATCCTGCCTGCAAGAAGGGGATGAATTACAGCTGTAGAAGAGTGGAGTTCACGTGACAAACATTTAAGTTAATCTTAAAACAACCACCATTTGTCACCTAAGTGGCGGTGACGCCAACATGGCGTCTGTGCCAGGCTCGGTGCACTGTGAGGCCACGTGAAGTGTTGAAGGCTTGCTGCCGGCAGGAGGTCACGGGACAGATTCAGGTGCCATGGGTTGACTGAGATGACTGGAGGATGCACCACCTGTGCCCCCTATTGTACCAACTTGCTGCGTTATCACCGCCCGGCACTCTGCTCTGATCACGTGTGCACACGAGCATCGTTGCCGAGCCCGAGGTTTGATATGTTGAAGGTGTGTGCAAGTCCTCGACTTTATTCATACGGTGGGGTAGAGTAGTTCGTGAGCAACATCTACATACGTTCGCGGAAATGCTGGAGAGTGGACCATTCGATCGAGACGGCTTTGTTGCCTGCACTTTGGCGAGACCGACGCAAGATGGGGCCACAGCTTTCTAAGGCAGCCAGCTGATGGGCTGATGTAGGTTCGGAACGCACGCTGGGTTTTGTCTGTAGCTTAAGGCGGGGTTGTGGGGAGCGGTGAGCGTGCTGTGCTACCAACTCCCGCGACATGAGTTCGGGTCCTGCTCACGGCCACCAACACACCAGTGAACCGGTGCTGGGCGTCCCCTAGGTCGACTCAGCCTCAAATGAGTACAGTAACTAGTGCAGTGTGTTAAAATCGGCACTTGGGATACAAAGGTGGCCGGGTGTGGTGCTGGCCATCCATCCCCTCGTGTACCGTGCTGGCCTACATCGGTGTTTGCTAACACACTTGCGCCAACAGTCTACTAAGGCTATACTGGGGAGCTTTGTGCGTGATGCGGCTTTCTATCGGGTGTTAATCTACCAGATTTGTTTATAAGGGCCCTGTGATTATATTTCTACTTTTCACATTTTTTTTACTACAAAGTAAATTATAGTTAAGGTAGCTTCATGATGTTTCTCGAGAAAATTCCTTAACTAAAACACTTGCCAATGTGAAACAAATTTACCACAAGGTTTAAAAATAACTTACAAGATTAACAGTAACACTGCTTATGTGAGTGAATGCGTGGATTCAATTGTATTAATACATCATTACCTTGTTAATTTATTTGCGAGATAAATACTGTAATTCTTTATATTGTGTATGGGTTCTTTGCAATCCACATTTCTGTTTCCTTCACCTCCCCAATCTGTCGGACACCAAACTGGGATCACAGACTTCACAAAACCCTGTCTCACCTCGATGATCGCGCTGATTTGTGGGCTGCCTATGGCAATAACGCATGGGGGGGGGGGGGGTCTGTAGCCAAATACAGCTGCGTGCCCAGTTCTACTGAACCGGTGGCCTGGACAAGGCTGAGAGCAGCACTGGCGAATTCATGGCATGCAGCAAGGGGCGTACGGGTGAGTCAGACCTGCGGTTTGTCAGCAGCACATCTTTTGCGTGTTGTGAAATTTCTCTCTTTCCAGCCTGCCATTGTACGGCGAATTTTCCTGTAGCGATGGATAGGATTTTCCTCATCATTTGCAGAAAGGGTTGCATTTGAATTTAGTGATTCGAACGTGGAACTATTCGCACTTTACACCTCAACCCATTCTACTTTTTTTTAATCTCCCGCTTTGAGGGAGATTCCCGGCACCTCCGATTATCACGGTTGGCTACGTGCGATGCGAAAGAAGTTCTACATAGACTAGCACAGAGACTGATCGACTCACAGAGACCCATATACACAGACACCCATAGTTGTCCTGCCCCCAGACCTCTGATTAGCACGGTTGGCTACGTGCGGTGCGAAAGAAGTTCAACACACGTAAATACAGGTAGTCCCCGACTTGCGATGGAGCTGCGTTACGACGACCCCATCGTAAGTCGAAAATATCATAAGTCGAAGATGGCCTAGCCTACCCAGGAGTCTTAAAGAATGGTGATCATTTATCAAAACAGCAATTTACAGTAGCGTACTGTATAAACTATATACAGTACTGTATGTATTAATTACAATACTGTATTGCACAGTAAAATGTAAAGTAAAAAAAACAAGGTCAATTCTTAGCCTACCTATGTGAACTGCAATTTAATAGAAAGTTTTTTCAGGAAACAATCCTATCTGCTATAAAAAAAACGTACAGCATCGTACCTCGTACGCTGCTGCGTTTGCCTGCAGCGCGAAATGTTAAATATTTTACAATTTTGTCATATCGCCATCGTAAGATCGAAATAGCGTAAGTCGGACCATCGTAAGTCGGGGACTGCCTGTACTTGGTTCAATTCCCTCGTTCCTCCCGTGCGACAGAACTGAGACGAAGCTTCCATTGCTCATCCTCTGCGGCATCGTGGGGTCACGCGAGGTCACGCTGATGTAACAAAAAAAACAAAGACCGATGCTCAGGAGCGCCTCATCCTTCACCTCACCAAAACATTGGGCAACACATTTTAAATGTGCACACAATTTGTCATATCCGCAAATCTCCTTATCCACGACCTTGTATTCCTAAGCATTGCGGATAATCGGATTTTACCCCAAGGAGATCCTCTCATTCGCAATATTTTTTTCTGCAGGTTCCTGTCTTAATTTTCTAATTTATTTTTCAGTGCTGTGTGCGGCAAGAAATCACACTGATGGGTCAGAGATCCTACTTGCTCTGGGGCCGTCCATAAATGACGTCACGCACCTAGGGGGGGGTCAGACGTTTGTGACGAGGGGGGGGGGAGTTTGAGAAATGTGATGTCACATCAACTTTTAATAAATATAGACAACACGTTCCACTTAATGAAATAGACTTTTAATAAATGTTTTCTCCTACAACATCAGAGTGCAGCACCACATTAAATACGCACTACAATGACAATAGTTTAAAGCGATTTGAAGCATGTTTTTTTGGGGGGGGCAGAGCTTTGTGACGTCATATTTGAGGGGGGATCTGACTTTTTGTGACGCCGTGTGACGAGGGGGGGGGGTCAAAAATCGTGTAACGTCATTTATGGACGGCCCCTCTACTGCTGTACTACTGAGCCGAGATGAACGGCACGTTTTATCAAGCACCCTAATCATGCAAATATAAATGTATTAATAATATATTTGTTAAAGCCGACAACCTGCTCTTGCCAAATACTATTTTTCTCATTCATGTACAAGGTGGCCCCAATCTGTGCTGTCACTTTATCTCTGAAAGCCTTGGGGCGATTTAACTTTTCAGTGCACCGAGTTGATCATGTTTCGCCAACGGTCTTTCAGAGAGATAACTTTTGCATTTTGAAGCCGTGCATTCAAACGCGTATCGCAACCTCCAACAAATGCAACACCGGGCGAGTTAAGGCCTCACGTATTTTCGCTGAACACATGTACAGGATGGTCCAGATGTCTCGTGACCGCCCAATTCTCTAAAACTTAAATATGTTTTGTATACCAATGGGTGTGAAAACATAAATTAAAAATTTTTATTTAAAGCTTTCGTGACTGCAGGGATTCATATTATTGGTTCTTTCGGTAAAGTCACGTAGAAGGGAAATAATAAAATAATATAAATATAAAACAATAAAAAATTATCGCGACGTTTTGACTGCAACATAAGCAATCATCATCAGGTGTGAAATCCACAGCAAGATTTCACACCTGATGACGATTTCCCTTCTACGTGACTTTACCGAAACATTTTTTTTTCTTTACCGAAAGAACCAAGAATATAAATTAATAAGCAAAGGAAAACGACATTTAGGGATCAATTGGGAGTCACAAGACATCAGGA